TATGTACTGAGCATGACGCCACATGGTATGGAATGTCCCTTTGGCCAGTCTGGGTCAGCTGTCCTGGCTGTGCCCCCTCCCAGCTTCTTGTGCACCTCCAGCCTTCTCAGTCGGTAGAGCATGGGAAGCTGAAAAGTCCTTGGCTAGTGTAAGCACTACCTAGCAACAACTAAAACATTGGTGTGTTATCAACTTTGTTCTCACCCTAAATCCAAAACACAGCGCTGTACCAGCTACTAGGAAGGAAATTAACTCTATCCCTGCCGAAACCAGGACACCAGTGATAAGACATGAGGTAGTGGCTTAAAGCTGCATCAGGGGAAGTTCAGATTGGATATTAGGAAAAAGTTCTTTACTGAGAGGGTGGTCAAGCACTGGAACAAGCTCCCCAGGGAAGTAGTGGCCCCAAGCCTGTCAGCGTTCAAGAAGTGTTTGGGCAATGCTCTTAGATATATGGTTTAACTTCTAGCTTGTCCTGTATGGAGTCAGGAATTGGACTCAATGATCCTCGTGGGTCCCTTCCAACTCAGGATATTCTATGATTATTTTTTTATTATTGGATGGTCCCTACAACCACAAATAGGTGTCCAAATGACCACAAACAGGTATCAGTCACAATTTTTGTGTAGTGTCAGCTACAGAAGTGGTTTAAAAACAGGATTCAAATGAAATCATTCTGTAATAAATCTGTCTCTTATAGGTAGCTAATGCCTTATAATTGATCTTACTTCACATTCCCATGATGTCCCCTAATTGAACTGTTGTATTCCATGTGGCAGATTACACTAATGAAGAAATTAATGGTTGATAATAGCAAAGCAATACATGTTATTCAGGTAACAGGCTATTATAAATCACTTGTTTATTAATTTTGTGATTTTTTCCTTAAAGAATGGAAAATGCAAACACTGAAAAAAAAGAGGAATCACATTCATATCAGCATATTGAACAGTGGACAAAAGAGGAAGTCAAACAATGGGCAACTGAAGTTGTTAAGATTGACCAGAAACATGCAGAAATCCTGTTTAACCAAGAAGTGACTGGTTTTACTTTGAAACTGATTACTAAAGCAGATTTTGTGGAAATGGGCATACCTTATGGGCCTGCTCTTCAATTAATGTATTTCCTGAAAGAGCATGGCATTCTAGCTAGAGGTTCAAACCAGGCTGTGGAACAAGAAAGCACTGAACATAGTCTTGATGAAGAAGGAGAAGATGGAGAAATGGCAAAGAAAGAGTGCAAGAAGAAATATGGGTCATTTAATTCCAGTATACTACAGGATTCTAAGACAGAGCCCATAGAAGACAAAAAAGCAATGAAGTCAGCTGACAAAGAGAATGTATCAGAGAAGCCACTGTCAGGCAGCCAGCACCCAACTGGAAAGATGTGTATGCCATATCCTTTTGATAATTTCAGTGATGGTACTCGATACACACAGTATAATATTCTTAATGTCCCTGAAACAGGGCCACTCAATCTCATTGATCCAGCACATGAATTCAAATCACTTACCAACACAGAGAATACACTAGAAGAGGATATCATGATGAAATTTAGCAATGAAGTCTTTAGATTTGCTGCAGCCTGCATGAACTCCCGCACAAATGGCACTATTCATTTTGGAGTCCATGACAATCCACATGGGGAAATTGAAGGAATAAAAGTTACCAAAAAAGAAACATACGTTGACCATTTGAATAAGTTCATCGGAAAGTACTTTAACGAGCAATACACCAGCATTGCAAAAGCTTGCATTAGAGAACCTAGATTTGTGGAAGTATTATTACAAAATGGAACTCCATCATATAAGTTTGTCATTGAAATAGATGTGGTTCCCAAACACTGCATCTGTGGTGCAAAATATTTCTGTACCAAAACATACGAATATGAGACTAAGAGTTGGAAAAAAGCTGTCTTCATCCGGGATGGAGCTAGTTCCAAAAATATTCAAAATACAAAAGAATTTGAAACTTTTAAAGGTACCTTGACATCTTTAGCAGATTCTCGTAAAAAAGCAGAGGAAGAATATAACTTAAAGCAAAAGAAGTCAATGAATGAAGGACTAAAGCTAGTTAGTCTGCTCACGGGTAACAGGGACTCACTAGATAGCTCTTATTATGACTACTACATTTTGGTAACAAACAAGTGCCACCAAAGTCAAACTTCGCACTTAGACTTTTTACAAGAAATAAAATGGTTTGCTGTGCTTGACTTTGATTTTGAATCAGAAATGAATGGTGTGTTCAAGACTTACAAAAAAAATCGAAATGCCAAATCTCACTTCCCAGATTATTTTGAAAACAAGGTGGGTTCAGTTTCTGAACAAGCTGAAAAGCTGAAACTGCATCAGGAGACCAACTGGATTTTCTGCAATGGTGGATCAGACTTCAAAGGCAATAGCAAACCACCATTAGATTCCACTTCATGGCAACAAGACAGAGCTGCTGGTGTCAGAAAAATGATTTCATTTCTTTCACACAAAGATGTAAAGCAGAGTGGAAAGTTTTTAATAGTGTTTCTTTTGCTTTCCACAGTGGAAGATTCAGTGGATCCCCTTACTGAGACTTTTATGACATTTTACCAAGAATTAAAGGGACTAGAATACATGGTCTGCATTTGCATTGGTGCAGGCACGTACCAGCGATGGAAAGATCTTCTGCATGCTAGAGGCATTAGTGAGGAAGCACTTTCAAACAAATGTGTTTCTAATTTAACCCTGCAAATGGTGAATGGTACCATCATGAAATTAAAAACAGTGACACAGTCTTCAAAAAGACTTCTGCCCTCTGTTGGTCATTCTACCATTCTTCTAAAGAAGAAAGAAGACTCCATGGCAGCACTGGAAATACTTTGTGAAAATGAATGCAAAGACACAGAAATAGAGAAGGATGCAGATAAATTTGAAAATTTCCGGAAAGAGCGGGAAGAAGATTTTTATCGAGGTGGTAAGGTATCATGGTGGAATTTCTATTTTTCTTCTGAAAATTATACTTCAGATTTTATCAGAAGGGACAGTTATGAAAAGCTTGAACAGCTAATTGTGTCTTCATCTAATAGTGCTAATCAATCACCTGTAAAAATTATCAACCTTTACCACCACCCAGGCTGTGGTGGGACAACATTAGCTATGCATATCCTTTGGGATCTCCGGAAGCAATTCAGATGTGCTGTTCTGAAAAACAAAACAAGTGATTTTGCAACACAGCTGACAACTTTACTCACCTGTGGAGCAAACAATGACACAGGCTATTTACCAGTGTTACTTCTTGTGGATGATTTTGAAGAGCAAGAAAATGTCTATTTTCTGGAGAAAGAAATTCAGGCAGCTATAACAGAAAAATGCATTCGGTATGTAACTCCTTTAGTGATCATTCTAAACTGTATGAGATCTCAGAATCCTGATGAAAGTTCAACAACCTATTCCTTGAACAGTATTTCTTTAAAACATATGCTTTCTGAAAAAGAGCAAAGGGCCTTTGATCAGAAACTAAAATATATTGAAAAGGTGCATCCAAATCCTGACAATTTCTATTCATTTATGATTTTGAAGAAAAACTTTGATAAACAGTACATAGAAAAAGTGGTAAAAAATACCTTGCATAACTTGAATACTGCGTCTAAACCAGCACAACTTGTTTGCTATCTAACACTGTTAAACTCGTATGTAAGAACATCTATAGTTTCAATATCACTATGTGAAGAATTCTTAGGAATTAATTCTCAAGAGTTTGGCTGCAGTAAAGATAAATTGATAGAAAAGATGGGAATTTGTTCCAATATTCTAATATATGATCAGGTACATGAATACACGAGATACAAAGGTCTTCGCATCATTCACCCATTGATAGCATCTCACTGCCTAACAGAATTGAAACGAACCTATGACTTGCCTAAAAGTGAAATCACATTGCAGTTATTGAAAGAAGATGTATTTTATAAGACTTGGTTAAAGAAAGACAAACTTATTCATGATATACAAACCCTGCTGATTACCAGGCAGCGCAAGGAACATGGCGATGAGTCAGACACATTGTTTTCCCCCTTAATTGAAGCCATTCATAGGGAAGAGAAGTGTGGTAATGTGGAATATGTGTTAAAAGAAGCATCCACTAGATTTGAGCAAAACGGTTACATTTGCCAAGCCTTAGCAAGATACTTCTACATCAAAGAAAAGAAATTTGACTCTGCATTATACTGGGCCAAAGAAGCCAAACAAAGAGCACAACACAATTCATACGTATCAGATACGCTAGGTCAAGTCTTCAAAAGTAAGCTAAGACACTGTGTAGAGTGCAAAGCAAAGAATACAGTCCTGACAGCTGAGGAACTGAAATACTTGCTAGAGCTTGCTGAGAAGGCTTCACAGGCTTTCAGAGAATCTCAGTGTCAAGCTGAAAATGCAGGCAATGGACAATATTTGCAGCAGGAAAAGCTTAAAAGAAAGTTTAAAACGTACAATACTGCTGGTTATCAGGGAGAGATAGAAACTGGTCTTTATGTTATTGATGTCCTTTGGCGTGTTCCTTTTTTCAGAAAAGATGACTTACAGTGTAGAAAAAATATGACAAAGTATCTATCAGGAAACAGTGTTTTGAATGTAGATAAGCCTAACACAGAGAGTGAAATGTTCAAGGTTCTTGAACATCATTCCAGCTTTTTATGTAATTTGCGATCACGGATGAAAAGGGCATTTGACTTTTTTGAAGACTACTTTGTGTTTTTCAAAACACAGACCAACGAAAAAGAAATTGTAGAAGCAAAATCGTATGAGAAGGTTCAAGAACATTTTACCAAATACACAGAAATATTTTGTGATTTCAGTTTTGAGCAACTAAAAAGTAAACAGGTCTCAAAGTGGTCCAGGTCTCAGTATATAGAAGCATACAGGGACACTATGGAGGCTTCCAAAGCAGGCTCATTTTCTGGCATTCTGGAATACCTCCACAGAAATCACAGAAATGCTGACAGAGAAATAGAAGACATAGTAGAAGCCTATGCAGTTTTGTTGGAGAATGCAGAAGCAACTCTGAAAGACAAACAGAATTTGATTTTGGCAAATGTTGTTCTGAGCTGCATTAGACCTAAATCCACTAAGTTACATCCTTCTAAGGTGCTGAGAAGTCTGCTTCTAAGCATTCTACAGGAAGTGGAATCAACTTCACAGTGTGTAGAGCCCTTCTTCCTAGCCTCCTTGTTGTTCTGGCCCCAAAATACAAAAGAACTAAATAAAGATTCCAAGAAAATGGAAACTTTTGTTAGACGCTTAAGTGAGTCTTTCAAAGAGCTCTATGGAACCCTGCATTGTTCCAGGCAGCCTCTGGCTCTTTTCTATCTGGCGAAAGGCAGTGGCCTGAACAGATTTGTTCACAAAGGAAAAATAGATCAGCTTTTCAGTTCACTTTCAGAACAGGAACTGAATTCCCTCTGGCAGAGTGGAAGTATCTGGAAGACACAGGCTGTTCAAAACCTTTTGCTTCCTTTGGATGGAAGAGCTGAGGGTAAGGTTATCTATGTAGACTACGGCAGCACTGAAACCTTTAGGATACCAGTGAAGCCTGTTCCCTCATGCCTATTGAAAAATGGCCCAAACATAGAAAGAGTGTCTTTTTACCTTGGGTTTTCCATTGCTGGTCTCCTGGCATACAACACACAAAGTCTGTCATTAAAAAAATAGGTATTGCAGTTTCTCAGCTACAAGGCTTTTTCAGGCAAAATTATCCTTTAACTGGTTTTTGGTTTGGTTATTTTTTGGTCAACAATTGCAAATGACAACTTCAGGCTGCCCATTATATTTCTTTCCTTACTATGTTAGTCTTTCAGTCCCATGCAGAATTGCATCTCTACTGTCATAACTGCTGTTTGGACAGTTAGTCAAACTGAAATGTTGGTGCAGTTAGTCCTGTAGACTGGTCACTACTACTCAAAGTTCTTTGGTTGATAACAACATGAGAAATCATAAAAAAAAAAAAAAGAGAGAATTCTAAAAAGGAATATTTTGAAAATGTTATCTTTAAAAACCATCACTTTTAAGAACCCTACTATCTTGCTAGCTTTTTTGTCATTGCTTGTAATGAAGAACGTCTCACCACGATTTTCATACTCTTGTATGAGTGATGTAAGAACAAGGAATGTATGTTAGAAAATATGTACCGTGTAACATTTCCTGACGCTCCATTGTATCTGGTGTCATCTTGGCACAAGAGAACTGTAAAATGCCATTCAGTTGCAAAGCAGCATTTTTTTCTCTGTTGTTATTGTACATGCTTGAAAAATGTAATGCATTTGTATATGGGCCTGTATAAATAGCCAAGCTGTACATCTTGTGGGAGGACAGAAGCACTGGTCTTTTACCTTCTCAGGACATTTCTAAATATGTGATTATTAAAGATACTGCTACTTTCTGCTGTACTGTAAAAGCACACACCAATTGGCATTTGATGTCCGTATTAAATAGATTTTATTCTTTTGTGGAGGGTCTGCTTCTGCTTTACATAAAATTGATCCAGTTTGGTCATTCCTTTCCTTATAAATTCCATTAGTTCCTTCCAGTGATAGATTTCTAACCAACTTTGATGCTCGCAAAAATGGGCAATTTAAATGCTTAAAGTGATCATTGATTGCATTGCCTTCCTCGTGTATAAAACTGCTTGCTTTATTTAGACACAATTAACATTCCAAAAAAAGGAAAAGATATTGGTGCGAAGCACCAGAAACAAAAAGTTACTACTGTCTGGGGGGTGCAAAGTGTTGCACTTTGCACTACGTGCATATGATTCATGAAAACCAGAGGAGTTCAATGCAATTAACTGCCTGAGAGAGGTCTGCGGGACGGCTCTTTCATTACCCCACAAGTCCTCTTTGCTCTCTGTGTCAGGCAAAGAGCAGGCAAAAATAAGTGACATCTCAACAGATTAGTAAAAATGAATTGACAAAAAGAAAAAGAATAAAGCAGCGGGCCATTCTGCTCTAGTGCAGCTCTTCTTTTAGTTGTAAATATGGATAAGGAGTTTTATTATATAATCCAGACTGCTTTTTAACTCTAGCCAAAACATATTTCTCTTGGCAAGAATGCACACTTCATTTTAACCTGTACCCACTTTGTTTCTAACAGTATACTTTTATTTCAGATACGGTGCTATAGGATCAATTTTCATGATAATATATTATTTGTTCTAGTTAGTCCTTAGGATATCACCGTACAATTTATCAATGACTAAAGTATTTACCCCTCCAAATAAAGATTTACAGCAAATTATTTGCCACGTCTTCATGGCAATTGAAGACTTCAGTCTTCATCTCAATCAGTCACATCTCCTGAGAACTGCAAGTATTTTTATGTGCTCAAACTCAGTGAGCTGTGTAGGGTGGCGCATTGGGCACACCCGGCAGGGTGCAGTGGCGGGCGGCTGCGGGGTGCCCCGTGGCGGGAGGCCATGAACCACCCTGGGCCGGTCTCAGCCGGTTCCAGCTGGAACTGGCTCAGGGGAGCCCATGGTGATCAGACAAGTTTAAGAAAGAGCAGCAGCTGTGACAGGCAGGAGAAATGGTGGAGGAAATGCTGTTGGAGACATGTGGAAGGGAACATTGTTGGGGTATGGCTGGAGACACACTTCTGGAAAGGGGCGACCCACAACAGGGCTGGGATATCCCTGAGGGACTGCAGCCCATAGGCGACCCATGCCAGGACAGGGACACCCCTGAGGGACTGCAGCCCATGGGCAACCCATGCTGGGGCAGAAGAAACAAGAAGAAAGGAGCAGCAGAGAAGCAGAAGGAAAGAATCAGAAGCAAGGAGCAGCAAAAATAAACCACTACACAGTGAGACCGACCTCCTCCGCTGCAGGCCCGTCACTTTGGCACGGGAATTGGGAAAGACTGAGCAGAGCTGAAAACAAGGGGAGTTGCGGCTAGGAAGGGGGAAGGAGAGGTGTTGGACTGAAGCTGAAAGGGGAAGAGAGGCATTTCCTTAGTTGTTTGCCACCTTGGTTTCTCAATACCCCAATCAGTAATTAAACGTTTATGTTAATTGGCAATAAATTAAGTGAAACTCCCCAAGTTGAGACTGTTTTGCCCGCAACACGTGTACATTTACTACTAACCCTTGGGATCTGGCACTGTGTATTACATGCTAGATGCTGCATTACATGCCTGTGTGAGTTTACAGAAATACAGATTTTATTATTTGCATATATCAGACTGTTTGTTATAAAATTGTATTTTTATCAGCAGTAGCTCATTAATAAATACAGATATTTGATACCACCCTTAATTGCGGTGTGGAACTGTATTTGATGATACATATCACACACAAAGGCTGACAGAATTGCTTTTTACAAGTATTTTCTATTTTCCATTACTTTGTAAGACCATTTTTTTCATGGCTCATAACTTTGTTAATCTTTGTATTTTGAAAACTAAGCTCTCCCATGCCAAATATCTGCCTCAGACATATTTTGTGTTAATTAAAGCCAAAGGGCTCAGTAGCTTCCAAGTGTGAGGTCAAGAAAAAAATATGTTGTGTTGCCTATGTTAAACAACTCTACCAGCTTTTTCCAGCACGCTCAGGAATTCTTTGGAGTGGTGTTTAAAAAAGCGTTTACTCTGGTAGGAGAAAAAAGGTAGATGTGAGGGGACATTTGTCTGCACAAGCCTAATTTTATCAAGTTGCAAGGCATGAAAAGACTGTCATTTATATATGGGCATATGCAAACTTGGGTTTTAACAGCAGAGTATATACACAGATGACAGCCCCAGAAGTTGCAGGTCTGGGCTGTGATCGGCCAAGTCAAAGCTAAGAGCTCAGCCCTGCGCTGTCAGTGCTGAGTCTAGAAACCTGGAGGAGACAACATGATACAACCTGGTTGTACAGGAGCCAAAGCCAAGTCTGCAGGAAGGAGGAGCGGCAGGGAGGCCCAGGAAGCTGTTTGACTTTCACAAACGATTGCAATGCTATCTCAGCAGCTCCCTCCAGTGTGCTAATGGAGCAGCCAGGGTCCCCGCTGCGCCAAAGCAGCATTTGTGAAATGTGTAGGAACAGGAGCTGAGGAATCCTTTCCTGGAGGAGTGCAAGGCCTGCAAAAATCAGTTTAAGGGGTGGAAGTTAAGAGTACTGAGGATCCTTCTCTGTCTAAAATCAGAGCTAGAAGTACAGAACATGGAGGGGTTTTCACAACTAGTGACAGAAAGGAAAATTTCTGCTAAGGAGATCTTAGGAGAAACAGACTGGAGCACGGCTGCTAAGATTTAGGATGAGAACAGTGGCAGGGTCTAGACTAGGCAAGAGGGTACAAGAACCGAGAAACAGGTATCAAAGGTGATGGGACAAGAGGCAGATATGGAGAGCCATGATGCTCAAGGGAAAGAAGCTCAACAGAACAAAAAAGCACACAAGGGAGCAGGGCAGGGCAGGGCAGGGAAGGAAAGGGAAGGGAAGAACAAGGTCAGCTGATGGCATGCAGGCTAGCAATCGTATCAGCTGATCGAGCCACAGAAAAGGTGTGCACAGGGGTGTGCAAAGTCCCTCAGCTCTATGTCTGAAGGGGATTGTACTTCCTATAAGAATAGTTCCTGAGCTGAAGACTCTCAAGATGTGCTGCCAGAGCAGGGACTGTAGGACTTATGAGGTAAAACAGAACAAATAGAGATTCTCTAGAAATGAGAACATGGAGGAGGACACGCTGTCTTCTAATAGATAAAAGGCTGCTGCAAAGAAACTGATAAAAATGAAGGTAGTGAAATGTTCTCCAGGCCCAAGGCAGGCATGGACTGAGGGTAAAAACATACCACAGGAAGGATTCAAGCTATATCTCAGGGGGGAAAAAAGTGTCAGTAAAAGAGATGTACTGGGATAGACTGGAACATAACGGGAATATGTCTTTGCAGCTCTGGAAAAATGAAATAGGCAAACATTTGAGATAGATTCAATAGTTGTAAGTCATCCTCTCTAGAATAGTCTAGAGGATCTCTTAAGCTCTTTTTTAGACTTACTTTTTCATGATTGTTAGATAAGAAATGCCTGCTAGGATCAAACTCCCCTGCGTAGGACTGCCCTTCCATTAATGCTTCATGCATCTACCCAGTCTCCCATAAATTTTCTGTGGCTTTGAAGGCATCAGAGCAAAGGCCTGCATACCCCAAACCCTCCCCACTGCAAAGATACTTGGATTGCATCTGACCTTAAGGTAGCAAAAAGTCCTGCTACCTCGTATATCCCTGAGGAGCCAAACTGATGTGGAGAGATGGGTTGTGGGAGCATGGAGCAATCAGCTACAGGCTGTAGAATTAGCTAAGTTCTGCACCACTTGTTTGTTTGATTACAGCTGAGACTATTCCTGCAATGTGGTTTTACCATGACAAACACCTTTTTGTTAAAAATTACCTTTCCCACCTGTCAGGTATTTTAATAGGTCAAACCTCAAAAGGAACAAAAAAAAGTCACAAACCAGACCCCCAAAATCATGAGATTTCCATCTTGAATCATGACATTTTTAAAAAATACAGTTTTTACTCTGCTTTTTGGCTTGAAACTACTCTGTCTTCTTTTGCCAATGTGTGTGATAGTTTCAGATTAAAAAGTCAACTTATGTAGAAAAGTGTGCTTCCCTCTGCCCATATGAATGGAGATTCCACTTACTGTCTGCACAATCCTAAGAGAGGAATAAAACTGCGTCCCTTCCTGAGAGTGCCAACTGTACATTTCCTATTACTGTATTAACTCTTTCCCCTTGTACTTTCCCACCCAATTTCTTTATTTACCTGCTGTGCCAAGGCTATAGAACACAAGTGGGAAATGAGCATCCAAGAACACAAAGCAATTTCTTTATGCATCAAATTTTCCAAGTATTTCTCAATAAAGATTCAAGTGAACTTCAGGGATCCTTACATGTAAAATCTTTACAGCATCAGAAAGTAAACTAAGAGCTGAGGAAAACCCTAATACAACCATATTTCTTTAATTTACTGTTTTACCTATATATAGAATACTTAA